TCACAGACTGATTACTGACTGATTACTGACTGATAACTGACTGATCGCTGACTGATCACAGACTGATTCCTGACTGATTCCTGACTGATTCCTGACTGATAACTGACTGGTAACTGACTGATAAATGACTGATCACTGACTGATTCCTGACTGATCACTGACTGATAACTGACTGATTCCTGACTGATAACTGACTGATCACTGACTGATCACTGACTGATCACTGACTGATAACTGACTGATCACTGACTGATCACTGACTGATCACTGACTGATCACTGACTGATAACTGACTGATCACTGACTGATCACTGACTGATTACTGACTGATCACTGACTGATTACTGACTGATCACTGACTGATCACTGACTGATTACTGACTGATCACTTTTATAGGTCTCCCGCTCATTAGGTTTAAAAAATCAAAAAGGAGAAATGTGCAATTAAACATTTTAATACCTGTTCTTCTCCTGCCTTGCAGCCAGACTTAAGTGTGAAGTTTTTCCTGGTACCAATTAAACTATAAGTGCGTCTCTGAATGTGAATCAGTTATGTAAAGCTACTTGTCCCAGTGTTTGAAATGAATTCAAATATGGGAAAAGATGAACTGGGCATTCTGGAATTATTGGTGAGTAGAAAAAACACTGAAATAAAAAAGGAGAAAAAACAAAACATGTGCAAACAAATCCAATCATCTTTTTTTCCTTTAGCACAGGTAAAACTCACATAACTGAGCCCACCATATAAAACAGTTCTCCATCAAGAAAGTTAGAAACAGGCAGGTAGGAGGACCGTGTTCATAAGGAGAACAGGTAGTCTGCATCTCTGACTCACCAAATTTACTCATCTGATTCTGGAGCCCAATGGTTTTCTGAGTATAGATTTCATGCAGTTTTATGGTTTGACCTGTTTCTCACTGCTGCTTTGATTGACCTTGTAATTTTAACTTGAACTTTTTCCTGTTTGGTAACCAGAATCTTACTGAAGAAGCTGTGCAAACTGAGGATGGTCTCACTACGTTTGCTGTTCACATGCTTTGAAGGTTAAATGGAAATGGTTCTGGACTGGAGTGTTCAGATATTGTACTGCAAATTTCTCTCTGTTTTTATTGCAATCATGAGAAATTCATTTGACATTACTTGGAACAGTTACCACCCAGTGTAAAACTCTGATTATGGTTGGAGCTTAGCCCCCTTTCAATTAAACATGTAAAGTGAATGTGAGAAAAGCTGAGTGCAGGCTCTGATTCAGTAACCTGACTCCGCCAGATGGATTTGCTCCGCATATCCATCTGGAAACCTTCCGTTGAAGTAATTTTGGGAAGGGGCGAAAATACTGGTTAGCTGATGGCCTATGTTGGTGATAGACGGGCCAAATAAACCAATCAGATCAATGAAGCATATGACGTACTAACAGAGCGACGACGAAGAGGAGCCAATTGATAGATCAAACTCTTGCCGAAACCAGTCGGGAGAAGAGCAAACACATCTTTTCCTCTGAGAAAAGCCTCCAGAGCAGTGTTTTGCTCTTCTTTCAGTGAAGAAATACTCTGTAATTCCGATAAAACTTGCTCGATAGCCACGCTAACGCTAGTTTCATCGGCTAAAGCCGCCATGCTCTTTAGACTGAACTGTCGCGCTTCTCGATGCGTCACACCTCAACCCGCCTCAAAGCCAACGCTGATTGGACGTTCGTTTGGGGAACGGCTCCAAATTTTCTTTAACGGAGAGTCTCCAGACTGATCTGCGAGTGAAACCTTGAAAGCTCGCGAGATCAGGATGGTCTCACGAGGCTTCTGATTCAGAACACTGAATAAGAGGATTCACATAGGTGATTAGCTTCTTTTATACCGGCTGATACGTTTCCTCTGTTTTTACAGAGATAGTCTCAGTTAATCCTTGGAAAGCTGACATTGATATCAGTAGGATTGAGGTCAGGGCTCCAAAGAAGCCACTTCACAACAGTCCAATACTTTTCTCGCTCTGTGTTTTGACTCATCATTTAAAACCTCATTAAAATTTGGTTTTTAAAAAGAAAAGTGCTAACTGTTGAAAACTAAATCATATACCAGTCTTTGTTTAGATTTGATCACCATGTTTACATTTTATCAATGCTGCACTTTCAAATGGAAATGTCTTGAGAGCTGTACTGAACTAAACTTCATTTTGTATACACTCTGTGTACAAATTGACAATAAAGTCTGTCTAAGTCTGTTAAAACCTCATGACCAATGACTGATACCAAGCTCTCTGACACTGGGGAGCATTTCATTGGATCCAGCAGAGAATAAGACACTCTGCGCAGTATGAAGCGATTTACTGCAAATGAAGAAATGTCACCATTTACTGCTGCCACTGGTGGAACAACAACTGCAGCTGTGCACAACACCACTTTTCAACAAGCTTTATCTGTTCCCCCTTGTAACTTTACAATACAAAGGTCTATCACCTTCAAAGTTTCCGGAGTACTTTTTTTTTTTATCATAAAATATGTTTGTAAGCAAAAAATGAAAAAGGTGGGACACTGTGTGTCCGATTTAGACAGGGGAGAACAAATTATAGCAGGGTCAGACAGCCCTATAGAATCTACAGCTTTTCTTTATGAAGTTCAAGCCTAGTGTCTAATCATAATCTCATACAGACATATATATATATATATATATATATACAGTGGGGAGAACAAGTATTTGATACACTGTTGATTTTTCAGGTTTTCCCACTTGCAAAGCTTGTAGAAGACTGTAATTTTTTATCATAGGTACTCTTCAACTGTGAGTGATGGAATCTAAAACAAAAATCTAGAAAAATACAATGTAAGATTTTTAAATAATTAATTTCCATTTTATTGTGTGAAATAAGTATTTGATACACCAGAACAATGAAACTTAATATTTGGTACAGAAACCTTTGTTTGCAATTACAGAGATCAGACGTTTCCTGTAGTTCTTGAGCAGGTTTGCACACACTGCAGCAGGGATTTTGGCCCACTCCTCCATACAGATCTCCTCCAGAGCCTTCAGGTTCGATGTGTCCTTTAACCAGCCTTTGGAAACAGTTCATCATGATGGGAGTCAGTGTGACAGGCCGCTAATCATTGAGTGAGATGACCTGAGGCTTCTTTGGGACTGGAATAATGGAGGCAGACTTGAAGCATGCTGGCACTATGGATTGGTCCAGCCAGGTGTTAAAGATGTCTGTGAGGACACCAGCCAGCTGATCTGCACACTCCTTATACGTTATCAGGCCCTGGGGCCTTCCTTGGGTTGACTCGGATTTGTTTTTATCTCTTCATCCCGGTGGTTGGAACCTTTATTCCACTCTGGTTTCTAATCAGTCTTTGTTCAATTTACAATAAAATATAAAACAAATAAAAAAGAAACAGTTTAGAAAAGTTTAGTATTCATTCTTTTCCTGCTTTGTGTTTACAACTCTCTCGGTTGCTAAGCAACAGAGCCTCCGTCCGCAGCCCATGAATTCGAACACAGCCTGCGTGTGTCTCTTGGCCATCATGGCTTACGTCGTCATGACGTAAGCACTTTGCGTCGCCGCCATCTTGAAGGCCTCTTTTACCGCGGCTCAGACTACTGCCTATGACTACCGCGTACTGTACTCCCTCTCAGCCGTGTTTTAATTTGATTAATTTCACCTTAACTTGATTTCAACCATGGTTAACCGTTGCTGTATTGTGGGCAGTAACAGCTCAACACATGATCGCCATGGGAAAAACATAGAAAATGGGTTAACTTTCCACCACTTTCCTGCCTGGAGGCGCAACCACGGAGACCAAGCGTCAGAGATAAAGAGTCGTCGGCTAGCTTGGATCGCGGCTGTAAGACGACCGAACATAACTTTCCACAGTATCCCGATGTCAACGAGAGTGTGCTCCCTGCATTTTCATTCTGGTAAGTTAAAGATGCACGGTTTTATTTTACTGTCTACATTGTTTCTTTCCTTAAAAGTTGGGATCTTTTACGGGAAAATAATAAAATCGGCAGCCGGAAAAGGCTCAAATACGTGAGAAACCCGGAGGGTTTAGGAAGGGTTGGCAGTTAACGTTACTAACTACACCTTTGAAACACATAGCAGCTAGTTAAACGTACATTACATGCGTGAGTGGTTGTTAGCATTAGCGGTTAGCAGTTGCTAAACTAGCAGGTTCCAGAGCCCATCTGAGCACAGCTTACCTTTGTACGGATTACTGTGTTCCCACTGTTTGCTGGCTTTATGATCTGCAGCTCCTGAACCCATCCATTCATGAACTGCACATGAGACTCCAAGGACTTGTAGCTTCTGAACTGTTTTGAAGTATAGGCGCTCACTCATCGGTGCTCCACTCATTGTTTGGAACTTCATATGGATCCAAATTATTAATAATGCTGATTTTGTCAACATACCGGTCCGTGGCTTCTCTATTTAATGTGTCCCGGTAAATTCCAGATCCTTTTCGGGATTTTAACATCTTTTTTCTCTCTACTTCTACGTCTCTTCTTTCAACAACAACATTGTATCAGAGCTATGTTTACGTTTGCGTAGCCGTCAATATGGCCGCCACGTCCCACAATGCAACGCGCATCCCGAGCCCTATACTGCACAGCCAGGTATCGGGGCCAAAAAATAGAGATCTGAAATTAGAGTTCATCCTAGTAAGAATTCATTTTTAGATAGGAAGAATCTTCTTATTAAATATCTGGAAGTAAAAGCCCAATACACATGAATGGGAAACGTGACGTCATTTGTACTGATAACAATTACATTTCAGATAGGTGGAATGTATATTTTAGATAGGATTTTATTTTCGATATCTGAAATGTTCATTTTGACTAGGAAGAAGGTGGATATATTTTCAATCAAGGTAATAAATGTCAAAATGGCCTGCCATACCATGATATACAGCGGCACATCAATGTAAAAGGCTTTGAGGTTCTGAGGTTGTGTTATTTTGGGGGGTTGGTGGTGGTGGGAGGGGGTAAAGTTGAGATAAACGTGGTGACGCAGCAGACAGGAGGTGACGTCGTCACGCTCCGTCAGCCTGTGTTGATGTTTTGGAGAACGGGAAGAGGGAGACGCTTTTTGTTTTTGTTCATCTCAAACCGTCGAAAAGGAGCCGAGAGGCCGCTTCTTTCTCCGCCTTGGGTTCGACTGAGGGTCTCATCTTGGTGGTAGGAGCCTAACGGCCGGTCCGGACGGTGAACAGGCCGACACTTTTGGTCCAGAACAACGGAGCTGTCCCCATTTCTGACCGCCTCCCTGCTCCCCTAACACCGTTTCCACCATGACGATCCTCCCGAAGAAGAAGCCCAGCTCCGGGGTCGGAGTCTCGGACCACACCGATGACAACGATCGCCGGAGCGGCTCCGACCCTCACCAACACCCGCATCCCCACACAGGGCGGACCGGAGCCAGGCCGAGGGCTTCGCCTCCTCCGTGGTCCTACCAGGGCGCCCCACCTTCAGCCAGAGACGACAGGCGGAGCATCGAGGCCAGCTCCCGGCCTCAGCAGGCCTCCCCGCCTCCTGTGGGCTCTGTGTCTCCAGTGGGGCCAGGGGACGGGCGAGACAGCAGCGGGGGGATGGTGAATAGCTCCCGCGGAGAGCTGGTGGTGTCCTCCGGGGTGGTTGGATGCGGCGGAGCGATAGGAGGCTGTTGCTCGGGGCCTGGTCTGAGCAAGCGGCGGCGGCAGGCTGGAACCTGCTCCGGGGGGGTGGTAGCTGCTCTGGCCGGTGGAGGCCAGCCGGGAGTGACCGGACCGGGAGGAGTGGGCTCCAGTCAGGACACGGAAGAAGGAGCCGGGAACAACAGCGAGGATGAGTACGAGAACGCGGCCCGGCTGCAGTCGGTGGACCCGGCCACCGTGGAGCAGGTAGGCAGCTAACGATGCTAACAAGCTAACGTGGCTACATGGAGGCTTCTGGAGCCTTTATGGCTTTAAAAAGTCTGTTTACATTTTCTGACAGAAAAAAATAGATAATCTTTTCAGAGAATAAGTAGACCACATTGACTTATTAAATAAATTCGTTATTTTCTTAACACAGAGCTGTAGAGACACTAAATTATGTAATTGTCGACACCATTCAGGTCAAAGTTTATCCTGCTTTCCCGAAATTTCAGGTTGCTATGGTAACGGCGGTGATGTTGCCCTGACTGACAGGTAGCTATGATGCTTCCTGAAGGCTGGACGGTACAATGAGTCCAAATACGCAGGGCCGGTTCTGACCCAGCTCCTGTTTTATTTCCTTTGATTCTAAATTGATGGACAGATGCGTTTATTTCAGCCATTCTTTACCCTGGGCTGGTTCCAGCAACACAAAGTAGCTGCTGCCAGGGGGGCTACTGGGTGGGGTGTGGTGGGGTCAGCAGAGCAGGGGTTAAAAGCAGAGATGTAGCCAGAAATTGTTAATAAGGGTGGCCAGATAATACCCAATGTACACTTAGGGGTGGTCGAAAGCGAATAGGCGCTAGAACCTCAGGGTCAATCTATATTTTCTAAATAAAGACTAACTATACTTTCCTAAAGCCTTTGCTAACAAATAGACACATATATTTAAACATCCATGCTGTCTAAATTAAAGGTGTAGAGGAGAAAATTCTTTCAGGTTTCAGTTCTGAGGCGAACATCTTATTCTATTCAGTTTATTTCTATAGCTCCAATTCACATCATGTCATCTTAAGGCTCTTTCCAGTTCACCAGATCATCCAGTCAGATTGATTCAACGTTTTCTATCTAAGGAAAACTAGCTGATTGCATCGACTCATTGACTTAAATGCAATTTCTCACACTGAGCTTGTAGCGACAGTAGAGAGGAAAAACTCCTTTTTAACAGGAAGAAACCTCCAGCAGGACCAGGCTCGGTGTGAGCGGCCATCTGCTGAGGCCGACCGGGGTTCAAGGAGACAGAAGCAGACATAGAAAAAGCAGCTACAAAAGGCGGCCCCGTCCAGGAAAAAACACAGAAAGGCTGACAAGCTCCGAGCCAGCTCCCATGTCAGAGGATGAAGAGAGCACATCCAGTTAGTCACAGTCAGAGAAACAGGACTACACTGGAAAACAGGCCAAGCTCCAACATCTAGAAACAAAGGTGTTGATGGCAGCAGCACAGCTGATATTTCTCTCCAGGATGGAGTCACAGCCAAACAGGAACAGACCAGATGAAGCTACTATGAGAAAAAGCAGAGAGAGCAGAACGTTAGAGATTGAACTAACAGATTCTGCAGAGTGGGAGAATAGAGATAGAATGAAGGAGAATGATGAAAAAGGGGTCCCTATGTCCTCCAGCAGTCTAAGCCTATAGCAGCAGAACTATAGAGATAGCTCAGGATAACCTGAGCCACTCTAACTATAAGCTTTATCAAAAAGGAAAGTTTTAAGCCTAGCCTTAAAAGTAGACAGGGTGTCTGCCTAATCATTACTTACATACTTTATTAATAATAGTTCTGCATACAATTTATATTTTAATCTAATAATATCTACATTTAATTGATTACTTATTATTGAAATAGTTTAACTGAAGACTCCTAGATGATTTGCAAAAACATAATTTTCTCTTTACCCCATAAGACAAAATCTAGCCTTGAAAATAGCATGAATTCTATATCTTTTTATGTTAATATATTAAACATGTTTGATTTTCTCCCGACCTCACGATTCCTGATCGGGAGGCGGTCGTGAGAGTCTGATCACCCCTCGTTACCCCCTTTACACTACACGACGCACGATCAGGCTGAAAGTCGGCCCGGTCGAAAGATTTGCGCATGACTGAAAAATCGCCCCGTGTACGCCGGCTTTAGTGTATTACCAGCAGTTACCATGGAAACGGCGGTCCCAGCTCCTCCCATGTAGTTCTGGGCTGATTTCTCACCTTTCTTAGTATCATTGAGGCCCCACCAGGTGAGATCTTGCATGTCTGAGGGAGATTGACTGTCATGTTTAGCTTCTCCTTCCTTTTTCTAATGATTCCTCCAACTGTGGAGCGTTTTTCACCAAGCTTCTCCGTTATTTCCCTGCAGCCCTTTCCAGCCTTTTGGAGGTGGACAATTTAGTCTCTAGTGTCTTTGGACAGCTCTTTGGTCTTTGGATTCTTACTGATTGTTTGGGGTGGACATGTCTCTTATGCTAGTATAAATAAATGGAGGTGGACATTATGAAGGCAGACTAACAGGACATTTAGGGTCAGAATTCTAGCTGATAGACGGGGGGTGGTCAAATACTTATTTGCATCTGAATCACACAAAGAAATAGTTTAGAAATTATATATTGTGATTTCTGGATTTTTCTTTTTAAATAACGTCTCTCACAGCCGACAGGCATCAACGATGATAATTGCAGGGTGTTCAGATACTTTCCTCACTGTATATTCAGCCTGTCCAGACATTCCAACCCAGGTTTTTTTTCTTTTTTTTGTAATAAAAAAACCAACCGTTTGGAAAAGTTAACAGTGTGTTACAGTAGTTTCTTAATTGCATCTGATTTAATAGGACCTATCATTTGATCCAGCTGTTAAAACTCATTCAGGCATAATTAATGAAAATCTATCAGTAAAATTACAATGAAATTTAAAATAAAATCTAAATAATATTCGGTGTCAATATAATTCATTTTAGCTTTGCAGTGAGAAATTGTAACCATGCCTTATTCCCAGGTAGAAATAATAGAAATAACTAGAACACAGTGAAACATTTTCAGGTTCAGATTATATTTTTAATTTCTGCACACCTTTAACAGAGTCAGGTGTCTGATAACGCCTTTAAGGATTTAAAGATTCAAACGTTTGTAGAACAAGACCTCGCCATTAAAAATCTGATCATAACCTTTCTTTCTCCACCTGGGTTATAAACCTCTGGATTTAAGGTAAACTGTAATGGAAAGGGGAGCTAGAGAAACCCTGCTGGGTAGTTCAGTCGCTACAGACTCTGTCAGTCACATTGAGATGACATGAATGCTTTGACTAGGTGTGTGATCAGTTATATAAACCTTTGTGTAGAAAACACCGTCTCTACCAGAACTTGAGATGTTTCTCCAATAAAAAGAACCCTGGATTACCAGTGACGATTTTTTTACGATTTTTTTGATTCTCCATACATGCGGGAATTTTTCTATCGGGCCGACTTTCAGCTTCATGGTGCATGGTGTACAGGGGGTAACGAGGGGCGATCAGCCTCTAACGACCACCTCCCCATCAGGAATCTTAAGGTCGGAAGAAAATCAAACGTTTGAAATTCAGTCAGCCGTCTTAAGGTGGTCATGGTTATGGTTATGTTTGAAGCATGATATATAAATCTAAATACAAACTGCCAGATAATAACAGGATAGTCTATAAATACATAAAAAAAATACAGGAATAGTGGCGTCACGTATTCTATAAGTATAGAGAACAACTGTCTTTCAACCGGCTGAAAAATTAACTTAAAGTCAAGAGATACAGGAAAGCAAAGATCCATACAGGAGGAGGCTAAAAACAAGCTCCAACAAAACAATAGCAGAGATGTGGAGTCAGGGAGGAAGAAGATGACGGGCAGGAGGAGGATCAGATTGATGAATTTAGGATGAACCGAAATGAACTGAATACCTTCAGTTAAGAAACACACTCAGATTTTGGAAAATAATCTAATTGCGATTTTTTTTTTTTATCTTAGTATTGCGATTTAACGCCATTATTTGTTTTTTTTTTTTTATTTTAATTTATCATGTCTTTTTAAACAAATACAAACAATAAATTAAACTGCTTCACAATAATCATTACATTTATTTAAACCACAGATTACAGCACTAATGGAAACACATTTGTGGCTTTACCTCATTAAAGTGTTTTTATGTTTGAAGCATGATATATAAATCTAAATACAAACTGCCAGATAATAACAGGATAGTCTATAAATACATAAAAAAATACAGGAATAGCATTGGGTGATCGGCAGTCAGTGGCGTCACGTATTCTATAAGTATAGAGAACAACTGTCTTTCAACCGGCTGAAATTTTTATAGGTAAATCAAATGAACACAAAATAAATAAGTGTATGAACTTTTTAAATCCTAAGAGAAAAACAGTTTGTATAATTTTGAACATTATATATTCACTCAGTCATTATAATTCACTGCTAGACTCTGGTACGGCTTCACCACAAATATTTAGTTGTTGCAAAAAAAACTCCACTGTTTTTTATTCTCTCACCTTTGATGGTTTATTTTCTACGGATCCCCTAAAGGGACATGGAGGGAAAAAAGAAACTTTTGCGAGATCCCGCAAAACTTTTGCGAGATCTCGCAAAAAATAAACTTTTGCGAGATCCTGCAAAAGTATTGCGAGATCCTGCAAAAGTATTGCGAGATCCTGCAAAAGTATTGCGGAATCTCGCAAAAGTATTGCGGAATCTCGCAAAAGTATTGCGGGATCTTGCATGTGTTCTTTTTTCCCCCTCCATGTCCCTTTAAGGGCTCCGTAATTTTCCCCCCTTCCTGCTTGAATTTTTTTTCTCAACCAAGTGAGAGGATGTTGGTATTTCCTTTGTTGTAGGGCTGACACAATTAATCTAATTAAACAATTAATAAAGTGATCGTCAACTAATTTAGTAATCGATTTACTGTTAACTGGAATATAGAGACTCTAAAACATGACTTTATCTGACGGTGCGACACAGAGCAGGAAACATGTCAAAATTGATGAAGAAAAACATTTTCGTCTGTCAATATTCTCTATCCAGAACCAGCAAGTGGACAAGTTTGAGTTTCACCTGGTTTCATTTAGTAAAAAATCTTCTTTAAGGGACCTTTTAATATCCAATTATAGATCGAAAAAAATAATCGTCAGATTAATCGATTTACAGAAAAGTCCTTGGTTGCAGATCTGATACAACTTTATATAAATTCAGGACCTGCTCGGCATTCTGGGGAATGTAGGCAGAATAATAGATTCAGCTTCTTAACCTCGAACTGCTGAGCTAAGCAAGGTTGGTTGTAGGGCTGAACTATTTCTAAAGGTTAAAGGTCAAATTTAAGTAAGGTTAGGGTTACAAATAAGGATGTACACATAAAATCTCATCATTAATTGTTAATTAATGTTTTGACAGATTAAAATTTGATTTAACTGATAACAACCACTTAGAAGGGATTTATAAAGGGAAAGCAAAGGGCTTCATGTAAAACATTTATTACATGATAATATCACTTCATTGAAATTAACTGACAGATAATTAAACAGTATATTAAAGCGACATACCCTGTCTGTTAATGATATTTTACATCTCTGTTAATTGGAAACATTGTTTCACATCTTTATTAATAATTTTTCTCAGTAACCTAAGAAGTTTCTGTTTAATTTCATTTATCAATGTTTAAGAAAACATGTTTTATTTCTTTCAGTCAGTATTTAATACATCTGACACAACAATGATATACTATTTTTTTTAAATTAGCACATTTTAAAACATATTTAGTTCTTCGTGTTATTTAGATTAGATTAGATTAATCTTTATTGTCATTACACATGTGCAGGTACAAGGCAACGAAATGCAGTTTAGATCTAACCAGAAGTGCAATAGCAGCAAGTGCAGGATAAATAATGGTTCTATAAATACAGGACATGGACTTTCTGCTGAATAAATATAGAGATGAATACCATTATAAACTGAATTTTACTAATAGTTTTGTCCTATGAATATAATATATAGATACAGGGGTCGATGTTAAGGATTTTTACCACTTGCCCTTTGGGCCACTGGCTTTCACATTTCATTTGCCCAGAAACAATTTTTACCTGCCCAGTATAATGTTTGATAAATATAGTTCCTAATATTCATTTTTTATATATATAAATGAAACATGTTTGTTTTTTAAATGTTTTTTGTAATTCAGTATTTTTTAAGTTTCCAGGTTCCTGGTGTGTATCTGCATGCGTCAGATAATGAACTCAAGCCTACATTACCGTGTTAACATGCTTTTCAATCCTTCCTGCACATTCTTTTCAAACTAAACTTTGCTTTAAACTGTTGTGTGCTTGGAAAAATATAAATTGTAATGTTAAAAATCTAAAAAAAACTTGACAGGTTAAAAACTTAAGATAAATCACAAGACAGAAGTCAATGTCACAAATGAATAACTTATTTTAGAGTCACGGTATGTTTATACAAGATAATACTATTAATATAATGTGACTTTTCTAGAGAATCATTATACAGAGTTATTTTATACAGTGTTTCCACAGTCTGACATCATTTCAGAATTCCCTGACTTTTAACCGACTCAGGATTAGTTTTCCCTGACAAAATAAATGCAGCAACAAGACAATAATAATAACATAACAGGTCACCAATCTAACATGTTTAGCTCTATAACATTTAAATGCTACTCTCCAATGTCTGAGAGAAAAGAATTGAATGAACATTTTTTAATGTATGACCTGCATCACTGTACAGAAGACTGCCATATGATAGCCATACAATTATGCCAATTTTCCTAATCCCTGACCGATAATTTTTAATCTAGGGTTATCTGGGTGGTGGGTGTGTTACTCTACTTACATTTTTTTGCCTTGTTGTTGTTTTTTAGCCTGCTAAGTAAAAAAAAATGTGTCTGATTCGCGCCAATTCCTGGACAAAAATCACGCCATCCGGCGGAAAATCACGCGGCTTTTTCAAATAACGAATGTCAGTGATTTTAAAGTAATTTTGATTGATTTTTTTTTTTTTTTGCGACCATTGCACTTGCCTGCCGGGCAAATGCAATGAAATTTGTACTCTCCCGACAATAAAAACTACTTGCCCCGGGAGATCGGGCGATGGTTAACATCGAGCCCTGAGATAAGTTAGCCTCGTGAGACCATCCTGATCTCGCGAGCTTTCAAGATTTCACTCGCAGATCAGTCTGGAGACTCTCCGTTAAAGAAAATTTGGAGCCGTTCACCAAACAAAAGTCCAATCAGCGTTGGCTTTGAGGCGGGTTGAGGTGTGACGTAACGAGAAGCGCGACATTTCAGTCTAAAGAACATGGCGGCTTCAGCCGATGAAACTAGCGTTAGCGTGGCTATCGAGCCAGTTTTATCGGAATTACAGAGTATTTCTTCACTGAAAGAAGAGCAAAACACTGCTCTGGAGGCTTTTCTCAGAGGAAAAGATGTTTTTGCTCTTCTCCCGACTGGTTTCGGCAAGAGTAGCCTGGCTTGTGGTTGTGTTTTCGTCGTCGCTCTGTTAGTACGTCATATGCTTCGTTGATCTGATTGGTTTATTTGGCCCGTCTATCACCAACATAGGCCAATCAGCTAACCAGTATTTTCGCCCCTTCCAAAAATTACTTCAACCAAAGGTTTCCAGATGGATATGCGGAGCAAATCCATCTGGCGGAGTCAGGTTAGAGATAAGTAGAACAAAATTTACAGCTGGATATGTAGCGAATATAATATACAGGTGGATGTTACTATAAATAGGGTTTTTACAGATATGTACAATAGCATAATATGCAGATGATTGTTATTATAACAGAGTTTGCAGGTTAATATGTACTAGGAATACTGTACAGATAGTTATTACTATAGGCAGAATTATGAGCATATTTATAGATCCTCTTGATATTAGAGAAAACTGAGGTTTTAAAAAAATTCAGCCTATCGATTAAGATCAGTCAGCTTTAAAATCATTCCTTAATTGTTATCTAACATCTTGTTGGTTTATTCCCCTGGGTCTTTATTTCACATGAGTAAGAAAACACTAATAAATATCTATTGAGGGATGGAAAAGGCTCATATTGTGATCTATGCATCCCTGCTCCGACACAGCTGCTTCAAATGACAGAATTACCTCTTCAGCACGGCATTGTCTTTAACAACGGCGTGGTAGCGAACTATTCGTTAGATTCAGTAGATCTTGAGGACCAGGGTTGGAGACCCCTGTTGTAGAGGAATCTTAGGTCCTTCAGATGCATCAAAGCAAAAGACTTAAAGAAGCTCAACAAGCTGATAAAGAACGCTGACTCTATTCTAGGAACTCATCTAGAACATCTGCAGATGATTTATCAAAAATTTCATAAAATGAAACTCAACTCTGAGCATCATCAGACTGTTTTAAGGACGTTTTGGTTTCTAATCCAAACCTGTGACACTGAAAGGAAAGACAAAGACGCCTTTAAAAAATCTAAATCTGAAAAAAATGTGTCAGCCTGAAATGTTTTGTGAGTCATTTATTAACCGTATGCAAAAGATTAAGCAGTATTTTTACAGATTGCTCTTTGTTCAGCGTTAAAGTTTAATTCTTAAATGTAGTTATTAATTTTTTTCAAGGATCCTGAATATAAGCACTTTTTTTTTAAATAATTTTGGTTGTGGCTTTTAAAGGCAAGGCAAATTTATTTGTATAGCATAATTCAGTACAAAGATGATGCAAATATAGGAAAATAAAACAGAATCAAAGCAAGTAGGGGAAAAATGAAAAAATAAATAAAATAAAAGATCTATAACCTGGAAAAACTGTAATTAGCGAAAAGTCTTTATTTTTTTCTCACCTTATTCCCTTTTGCCTGCTTCAGTTTTGTTAATGTTTGCTCCGTTCTTGAAGCTAATAAAATAAATAAATAAAAAGAAACCAGAGCTCCAACATCGTATTTCCCTCCCCATTAAAGTTGCTTTTAATTGAATGCAGATGCAGCAGGTTTGAGCCCGTTAACTTTAATGTATTAAAAAAAAGGAGGAACTCCAGGAGAACGTCTGTGAGGTTCTAACAGGAGGAACATGGAGAACCTGGCAGCTCTTTAAACATTCGATGACTGGATTTTAACTGTTTTTAACTGTCTTTAATCCCACATTCAACCAGAGCGACTGTGCTTGTAAAGCCAGTCCTCCTCCTGACACCAGCGTGTTGTTGATGGCGAGTTTATTGGCTCCGCCCCCTTTGACAGCTCTGTGTCTTCCAGCAGGAACACTGGTTTGAGAAAGCTTTGAGGGAGAAGAAAGGCTTCGTCATCAAAAAGATGAAGGAGGACGGGGCGTGTCTCTTCAGAGCTGTGGGTGAGTCGGTTCTTCCCTTCATGCAGTTCTTCCTTATCGCCAGCAGGTGTCAGCGTGTGTCTGAAGTTTGCTCTCTGAGCTTTAATGTAACAGAAAACAACATTTACTGCAGATGGTTGTTGGAACAGAACTCCACTTGTGATGGATTCTTCATTTATTGGAGATGTGATGTTTTTCTGAGGTGAAAAAAAAGATGAACAGATATGAAAAAATCAAGCTGTATTTATTCTGCTCATGTTTCACAACATCGTCCTCTCCGTGTAAAGCTTTCCTAGCAGCAGGGGGCGCCGTGCAGCTGTCGGGCGGCTCCTCGCGTGTGTCGGGTGGGAAGCTCTGCAGAAATGCAGGTCATGGTGCGAGATTAGTGTTTTTGTTCCTTAAAAGCTCACAGAGATCCATTCAGCCGCCGCAGCCTGTGTCTCAGATAACAGCCATTGTGCCGCCGCAGTTATGTCATCACACCTGTGTGTGTGAGAAAGTTGGACTCTTCTTGATAAAGCTGGTTTGTTCTGAGTTTCAGCCCAAACCCACAACCCAGCTTCATGTTACAGAACTGGGTTTCAGTGGAGTTTGTTTTCCTGCCCGGCCGCAGGAAGCGATCCGGATGCAAACAAACACAAGAAGGCGCTGTAAAAGGTTCTGATGAAGCCATCAATGGTTCTGGATTCAACTTTTAAACATCTTGGAGTTTAGGTGGAGACCTGAAAACGCAGATTAGAATATTGGATGTATGTGATGATCTCAGATCAGTGCCGTTTTATGGCTGTAAGGCCGGCGTTCTGTCAGATCAGCATACCTGGTCAGACCAGTATACCCATAGTTACCTGTTTATCCCTTTAGTTTTGTATGAAAAATAGACTTTAAACTACGGCAACAAGCATGTATCCCTTTAGTCATGTACAAAAAAAAAAATTAATTAATTAGTTTTTGATGTTTTTTTTTAAAGCGTATGGCGATCTGACCTTAAAATGTTTTCTTTTTTTGTACATGATTAAAGGGATACATGCCCATCGAGGTAGTTTAAAGTCTATTTTTTGTCCAAAACTAAAATGATAAATGCAAATCTGACGTGTTGCGCATGCATACTGACTATGGGTATGCTGATCTGACGGCTAGAACATTATTATTTGGGTTTCATGGACTCCTGTGTACTTTGGAAGATCTGCTGTATATTCAGCATCAGATCGGGGTCATGAAATGTCTAGAAAATTTCACTTTTTTTCTTTTTCTAGAAGTGGATTAAATGACATTTATTTAGGTTTCAGGTTTTCTCGCTCCCAGTCTTTGTGGAACCAGGTGTAATAACCAGTCTGGCTGTGTTTACGCTTCTCCATAACCAGCGGTTTCAGGGAGGATGTGAGGTTTGGCTGCTGGCAAACATCTACGTTCCCTCAGCTGGTCTCCATTCTTTACAGATTTTATTTCCTTTTTTCACACAGTCGTTCATACTGGGGCAGAAACAATTAATCGGATTAATCTTGATTAATCAATTATTGTTATAATGGTCAACTAATTTAGTAATCTCCCCGCCTCTCACCCATGGACAGCTGGAGATAAGCACCAGCACTCCTCGCGATCCTGCTTGGGATAAACGTGAAGGAAAATGGATGGAGGGATAATTTAGTAATCGGATACTCATTACTAGAGTATGGAGACTGTAAAACATGCCTTAAATTGATGGAAAAACCCACTTAGAGCAGGAATTATATCAACATTGTATGTGTACATATGATAAAATGTATATGTGTGAAAATATTTTGCATTTAAGATTTAAAAAAAATAATTTTTTGTCTTTTTTTGTCTTTCAATACTCGTCTAGTGGAAAAGTCTTCTTTAAGGAACCTTTGGCTATCTGGTTATTCATCGCTTGATCGAAAAATACGATCCACAGATGAATCGATTTCAGCCGTAGTTCATACTAGCTAAATTTGAACGCCATCAGACCCGTCAAATTAACCAGGGCGCCGTTTACCGACATAACGATGGATTTTAACGCCATCGACGGTGTTTAAGGATCATTTTTAACCACAAACTTCATTTGGGATTTCACTTTTCCTCTGACCTAACTCCAAACTTTTTTTTTTTTTTTCAGTTTTTGAAAGCTTGCTTTCCCAGAGTCCATTGTTATTCATGTATAAAAAGGTTACTTCTCCCTGCGTGCATGGATTAGCATGCTAGCCGCAAAAATATCTACCTTTATGTGCGGCGACAAACTCGCTTCAAGGGTTTTGCCGCCACCTAAAGGACAGGAGTGATCATTTATTTGTCTTAAATATAATATAGTCTGATTAAAATTGAGTGCCTTTGCGATTCGAAAATTACGTTTAGTTAAATTGTGGTTATATTGCAAATGCAATTAATTACCCATCCCAAGGGGGACCCAGAAAAAAGACGTAATAGTCGGATAAGACTCGACCAGACTACGGGCTCTCTGAGTACCATCATACTTGACTCCACACATAAAAGGAGCTTAAACAAAGTATTTTTTTTTTTTTTTTTTTAAAGACTTTATTTTAATAGATCAATATTCATAATCAATTATTAATACAATAAGCCAGAAACAACAATTTCCCATACAACCATACAAACAATTGAGTAACAACAACCAAACAAGTCGGCAAGCTGAAAGTCCATTTTTTTTTGTTTTGTTTTTTTTTTTACTTGGGGGATGAAAATGACTTTTATTTTTCTCATAACAGAGATATATGTTAAGTATGCCTATAAAATATGTACCTGTGTGTTTACATTTATCTTACTACAATATTAACTGGAAATATGTCTTCAAAGGGTTCCATCTTTTCTCAAATAAGCCAGAGGACAAGTTTAATTTTGCTGTTATTTTCTCCATCGTATAAACGTTCACTAGTTTCTCTTTCCATTGATTTACAGTAGGGGCTAAAGGTTTATACCAACATATTTTTATCATTTTTTTGGCTACGAGAACAAGGATACCAAATATTTATTGTTCTTCTTTACTTAAATTATTTGGTGGAATTCCCAGAACAAAGATCCGGGGATTCCAATCAATACAAAGTATTATTTTCTGTGTAAAAGGATCTAAAATGGGCAAAATTAACCCTTTAAAGCCCGATCCAAGAATAAAACAAAACATAAAATTACTTTTTTTTGGTTTGAAATCCTTATTTGGCCTTTTAACAAAATATGTAAAAAGAAAAAACAGAAATTATTGATATTAATAATTTATTACTATGCGATAAGTCAAGATTATTTTTTTGTGTAGTCTTCTGCCCTCTGTGTACAATAGAATTTTGAGCAAAATTTTTACCATTAAATTATGCAAAAGGTGTCAAAAGCAAAACATTTCAGAAACCGTATGTATCAAATACGATACATTTGGCATTACAGGGTTAAAAATCCTCCGTTTGGAGCAGAAACCTACGAACTCTGGAGATCCTCATTCCTTTTCTGATCTGCTCCATTTTTTAGGTTTTGCTAAAAGGCACCAGTCATAAAAAAACCAGATAATACCTGCTTACTCCATTTGAGATACTCCCTTATTAGCATGTCCATCACATGCGCTGTTTGACCTACATGCATAGAAACCGGATCTCTGATTGAAGCTCTTAGTTTACTGTGGAATGGAAAACATGCTTTCTAAGTTTTTGTGACGTCTTTTGGGTAATTTTTTGTAATTAATTCAGGTTCTGAACTTAAATCATGTTTAGATTTCCCGAAGCCCAGATGAGAGCTGAATGGGTCCTTCAGTGTGAAGTTAAATCAGCCCTTTTATTTCCTCTCACTTCTCTTTTCCGTTTCAAAGAAACTTGCTGCTCGAACGCGACTTTTAAACTAATTTTACTTTTAAAACTACGGGTGCTACTCGACTTTAGAGAACCTCACCGACTTTCTCACCCCCAGACCACTTTCTGTTTCTGTCTGATGGTTTTGCTGTGTATGTGGTCAAAGGAAAACACACTGAATATGATGTGAGAAAACATTTCGAACAGCAGAGCACATTGATGCAATTCCACAGGATAAATATGTGTTCCTGCATCCAGCCGGTTGGACCTGATTTACTTCAGTTTCCAGTTAATAAAAGGATCTGGATGAACTGGAAAGTCTGTAGCGCTGCTTCTTCTGAGCTGTTTGACTCATCGGGATAAAGACAGAGTTTCAGTATGTTTGTGTCTGCAGCTGTTAGTTCAGTTCTTAATACCACACAGACATGTTTTGTGTTTGCTATAAAGGCATGATTAAAACCTCCTCTGCAGGATTATCCTGATGGTGAACTTCTACATGAAGATTAGAAACATGTCTGCACAGGAATACACACGAAACAGGATTGTTCTCTTAATGTTTGACTCAACGTAACAGAGAATAGTTTGAATTTTTCTTCACTGAACTCGTGTCATATAATCCAGGAGGTTTTGTAACTCGTCTGCATTTAGCATTATATCAAATGATCGTCTGCATAGAAGGTAATAATGATACCAAAATGAAGAAGAAGTTCAACACAAAACCATAACCTGACGGGATTGGTTATCACAATTAAAAAAGCCGTTTTTTTTTTTTTATATCCCAAAGGGAAGATTCATTCATATCTGTGTTTCTGGATGATGTTGCAATAATCAACGATATAAGCAGGATTATTAGACTTCTGTTGGAAAGGGCAGCTGATCTGTGTCTGTTTTTAGTGTGTCAGGGGTATTGGTGGGGGGTTCGTCCAATAACCAGTGGGTTGCTGGTTCGAGACCCTGCTCTGTCCACCTTCAAATGAAAGGAAGAGAACAAACAGTGTTTGCTGAAATAACTAAATGGATAAATCGAGTTTAATTGATTTATTTAAATAATCCTCAACTAATTTAGTAATTGATTAATCGTTAACTGGAGTGTAGAGATTCTAAAACAAGCCTTTAGCTGACAGAGCGACACACTTAGAGCAGGAATTATTTAAAAAAATGAAAAAAAAATATGTAAACATGTTAGGGCTGAGACAGTTTATCGGATTAATCGATTATTGACATTATCGTCAACTAGGG